ATGTACGTTATGGTCCTGAGCTAATTGAGGAAGAATGGCTGGGAACAAACAAATACATGAGCAAAGACATTACGACCATGTTACGCCATGAGATTCATTGCAAAAAGTTTTGGATCAACCAATTTCATGACAGACGTATCAATATCTGGGAGAAAACAACAAAGAATGAATGGAAGATTCCAAGCAATTGGAAATCCTTTAAAGAGATGGTCGAATGGAAATTCAGAGATCGCAAAGACAAACACAATGGACCATCCATGGAAGCGGCAGTGGCACACTTCAAGAAAGATGGTGAACATGATGGATATACCGATTGGAACGACTACTATCCGATATTCATTATTCGTGCGTTCCAGAAGCATATTGATACGCAGAAAAACAGAATCGAGATATATGCCAAGCCGATCCCTGAGGGAGGTGACCCCGGTTCTTTTGACTGGAACAGCGTCATCGCTATTCGGTGCGTTGGTGGTCACAGTTGTGTCAATCCATCTTCCAAGCCATGGAATATGGGATGGGAGAGCCTACAGTGGACAGATGTTAAATATCTCCATCACGGCACAGCATCCCGCGCTTGGAAGAACATATTGAAGACAGGGATCATTCCTGGATACGTTGATCCAACTTCTCAGAGAGACAAATATCATAAACCATCACAGCGATCTGAGGCATTCTTTAGTTCTAGCACATATTTGAACAATGCTCAAAAGAATCCACACACTTCAGTGGAATCATACAAATTCAATAACGACAAGAACGAGGTCGAGCTGGTGATCAACATGGAAATCGCCACAAGAGCAGGTTGCAGATTTTGGTTGGGTGCTCAGGGCGCTATCATGACAGAGGACGTGGTACCAGCTGCGGCAATTATTGCAATTCGCCGCCTCAAACCACACCACATGCATGGCCAGCAGTTGTGGCCAGATGGCGGCCCATGGGACTACCCGCCATTGGCAGCAAGAGAGCCATTGAGCAAGTGCGAGATTTGCGCCTGCCTTCCTGGAGAGCTCATCGACGACCCTCCTGGATTAGCACCTATCGACCCCGACCAGAACATGGAGCCTCCAAGGACGACGGCAGCGTCAGCACCATCGGTCAAGCTGGGGGAAACCCCTGCTGGCCGTACATCTGCAGAAGACGCCTTGGATGAGCAAATAGTCCGCGCTATGATTCGGGAGACCAATCACAAAGCAGATGACAAATAATGGTTAATCGCATTGTCATACTGTCGCGAAGCTCTTCGACCAATCACATCGAGGATCATGCAAAAAGATTTGGATCGTCGCCCTGCATTTAATGATGTTCGAATGGGAGACTTCATTGTCGTCAAGAACTGGGGTTCTACCAAATGCTTTCATTGCTACAACCACTTTCCCAAAGGCAATCACAATACCAAGATTGCCTTGTCCAAGGGACACATATATGGTCCAATCATCCATTTCGGCATCTTCGACAAGTTCTTTGCGGTACAAGTACCTATTCTCAACTACGGTTTACGATGGGTAAACATATGGTATAATGACAAAAAGCATGCCCCTCAAGGGCGTTGTCTTTGCATTACCGATTCGTATCGAAGAACACGCCATTGGCCCAACGTGGATGGAGACCGTCCTGAAAGGTCCGACATCATGCAGCGAAAAGATACTCCAGCACAAGACTGACGGCAGTTTACCATACCTTGGCATGCCGAGCATTCTTAGACCACGTATTCCGCGTACACCGCCAAGAAGGCCCGCTCCTCGGACACCCGATCCAGACGAGCTGGTGGCCACACCTGCCGGGGACAACGCTCGTGCGGGCGACAATCCTCGACAGACTGCAGCATCATCACGTGATCCATCGATCACCGTAATCGTGGACATATCGAGCATACCGCTCACTGCTGAAGAGAAAGCTGCGAACGACAACATGAGAGCATACCTCTCGGCAGACATCCAAGCAGATGAGCAAATTGAGGCAAGTATCATCGACAACACCATTGATCCGCCATCGGACTTCCTTGACCATCCAGATTACGACCCCGACGAGGATTCCAGATGGATTAAACAGTCTGATGACTGCTGTGTGTATTGTTGGACATCTGAGCTGCTGGTGGATTCGCCTATGATCAAGATGAAACAGATCATCGAGATACACAGTGGCGCAGACAGAATCGTAATGGACAAAACTCAGTCGCATTTACAATTTGAAATTCGATTTGGATCGAAAGCATGGAATGCGGAGTCATACCAATTGAACTACAATCATACCCACAAATGGGCACGTGACTTACCTAATTGCAGTGCAGATCATTTCTTCAAAAAGTTGGTA